AAACCAGGTTGTACCAGTTGGCAGTTTTGCACACTCGTACATTTCATACAGCCATGAAACTCCAAAGTCTCTTCCAATTCCACGACCAAAAGCATGATTTCTAAAGGGAACAGTTACAACTCTTTAGCGGTGCTTGGCTCAGCTCAACTTGGCTTCTTCATTCCCATCTCTTTTTTTCTTAAATGTTTGAAAAACATTTGTGAATCAGTCCTTTTCTAATGACCCACATAGCATGATTCTCTTTGCTTCGCAACTTTTTTTTTTTGGGGGTTTTAAATCTTTTTTTTTTCCAAACTTTTTATTAATGATAGCCAGCTAAAAAGATCATGAACTTTTGAAATTTTGATAAGCTGACAGGACTCTCAAGGGTGAAGAAGAAGAAGAAGCAGCTAAAGCTGATAAATAATCCTTGAAGACTAAACTTAAGTTTCATGTTAGATTTACATCACTTCATCACTAGCAATGATAAAATTTTGTTGAATCGATTAACTCAATTGGTTCATAAAAATGATAATTATGACTAGGAGCAGAGTTATAGAGAGATAGACAAAGACTTCGTCCCATCAAAATTTTTTATTTTTTTATTATATAACGATTTCATATAATTATTGTTTTGATTTGTTCTTTTTCTTTGAAATTATTATTAGGTTAGAAGTATTCATTTGATCGATTCGATTAATTTTGAATCGAATTATTCATAATCAAATTAATTGAATTATATTATTTTATTTTTGTTAATTAAATCGAATTTATGAATTTTAAAAATTAATAAACATCATTTAATTCAATCAATTCGATTAATTTTTTTTTGGTTAACCAAATAATAAATGTATTTATGTTAAATTATATTTTAAATTATTAATTTTTTATATTTTAAACAAACTAAATAAAATTATTTAATAAAATATTCAAATATTCAAATATTATGTTAAAAATTCTAACAAGTTATTAAATTAAGTAATTCATTTCATGCATTTTTCGTTTTATATTTGGATTATGTTATATTTCTATTAAAATTTTAATTAATTTAATTAATTCAATTGTTAAACTAAATTAACTAAAAATAAAAAATTTTTTAAAATCGATTAAAACTAATTCAATAATCGATCGATTAACTGAATTAAATTCATTTGATTAATTAATTTGATTAAAATCAAATTATGAACACTCCTAATTAGGCCTTTCCTTTATTAATTTCTTGCTATCTTAATTACGAAATTATGAATGATTTTGTTAGATTTTTATGTTTTTCTGGGTTGAAAATGAAGCTTATTTGGATGAAAGAGATAGTGTGACGAGAGGGGTCCTCATTGATTTTCTGTACTTAGTTTGAGAAATTAACCACCACAATTGAGTTGGAAAAACCTTCAATTTTTTTGTCATTTTATCAGTAAAGTGATCTTTCGAAAAATTTATTAGATATATCGAAAAGGCCAAGTAAGCCTTGGTGGCACCGAATTGTATTAGCCAATTTCAAGTATTGTCATCATCAGCATTGTCAATAGGCAAATGCTTGGCTCTTCACATAAGAAAGTTAGGGTTGCGTGTGTGTGGTATATATAGGTTTCGGATTAATTTAAATTAATTAATTTTGAATTAATAATGTGTTTTATTTTTGTATCAAAAGAATAAAATATAATCGTATCTTTGTAAATCATCAACAATAGACCCATCAAAAGAGGCATTTATACGTCTTAGATAAGTGAGGCCTACATCTCGTATTGGGCTAGCTTCCCATATCCGAAAGTTTGTGTATGTGTGATTTACATGGGATTTTTCATTAATACAAATCAATCAGTTTTGAATTAATAACATATCCTCTCTCAATAAAAAAAAAAAAGTAAATTTGAAATGCCCTAATGACAATTGAAGCTAGTTAGAAGGATTTTTTTTTTTTGTATTTAAAATTATTAAAATTTAAATTTTGATCGTTAAAATTAAGAGTTCAATATTTTATTAATTGATGTAATTTAATTAAATTATACAAATTTTTTATAATTATTATAAATTTATTCGGTTGATTTTCGTAACATAAGAGTTACATACATGATCATCCAATTGAAGGAATAACTACTGTAAGTCTATAATCCAATTTTGGAAGCAATCAAAAAGCAAACATACCCCAAAAAGGTCAAGATTTGGAGCACAAGCTTTGTACTTGAACATATTTGGGAACCTTGTTTTGCTTATGTTGTTTTGTAGCACAAACTTGCAAGAATAACCAAATCCCATGCCTTTAGCCATGAAGGTTCAAACTTTGCAATTTCTAATTGTTGTTAGCAACTAATTATTAACTAAATAGAGAATGTAGTATTTTATTTACCTTGGACCTTCTATTTTAGTCATTCATAAATCCGATTTTAGATTTTGTTTTATTAGATGAAGGCACCATACTTGAATTTAACAACTTTTAAACAATGCATCAAAAAATAAAATACTATTATGGAATTTTCACCAAAAGTTTTATTATTTTACCTGAAATTCTAAAAATTAAATTTAATTATCATATCATCAAAGAATTGATTCAATCGTTTAATTCATTTATCTTAAGAATGTCAATAGGTAAAGTATGAAAAAAGTAAATCATTTTTAATCTTTATTTTTGAATTTTAATATTATATACATCTTTATATCCAAACTCAATAAATATCTTAAATTTATTTTCATTCCTATCATTGCTGGGTGTTTGATAGGTATGAGTAATTCTTATATTTATAGCTTTAAAAAAATAAAAATAAAAAATTTTAGTTTTTTTTTATATTTTAATCTTGTATATTTAAGTAATTTTTTATAAATATATATTAGTATATATTTTTCAATAAAAATTTATTATTTTTAAGTAATCTAAAATAATAATTTATATTATTTAATAAAAAAATATTTATTAAATATACATAAAAATATATACAGGATACAAATACAGATCATGTATTATATTATTCACTTTCATCATTGTATCTAATATCGATTCGTATTTTCATCTCCATAATCATAATATAATATCTATCAACATTCATATTCAAATAAAAAATTGAATTCTTCATTTAATATAAGTAAAATTGATATTTTTAATTCATCTCAATAATAAAAGATTTTAAATTAAAAAATCGTTAATATGACATTACCGTTATCCAATTAATATTTTTTTTTTAAGAATCTAAGGTGAATCTTTGCTTTAAATTTATATATGCCCCATAAAAGAGAATTAGACTAAAATTAGTGCTTAGAATATACCTTAGAAAATTAATATTATGCTTGAGAATCAAGAAAACTTGCCATAAAAGAAAAAAAAAAAACCCTTAAAATTCCAACCCCAATTCAGCAATTTTTTATCTGAACCTCTTTGAATCAGGAAATTGTTCAACCGTGTAAGAAACTTTTGTTCATCCACTCGCTGTTGCTTTCAAACCCTTACACTCGCCTCACTTAAACAGCACGTTTCTACTAAGTAGACAGTTGTAATAACGAGTAATATCCTTTCTCTACTCGCGGCGGTGCTTTCGGCCTACAAAATAATTTTACCACGTTTTCTTATTGTCCTAAAAATTTTTGGAAAAAGGAAATAAAATTAATTTAAGCAAAGAAAAATTAATTTTTTATTAGAAAAAAAAAAAAACAGAAATTGTTAAAAGAAGTATTTATTATTTGTAAATTGAATGTGTCAAGATATTAAGTTCATGCATGGTTTTCTCATTAAAAATTTGATGAAATTAACTTGTAAAATGAATCTTAACCATAAAAAATTTTATTGATGTGATCAAATCCATTGAATCCAGGCTTCCATTCAATGCAATTTTTTTTTTTGAGTGTTTTCAATGTACTAATTACTTTTATAAATTGATAATTAATGATTAAAATTTTATTTAAATAATTAATAAAAAAATTTTATTACGTTATCACGTTGTTTTAAGATTAAATATTTATTTTTTTTCGTAACATAAAACTTAAATTTTCATGCTATGGACATCATCATGCATGAAAATTTCATGGGAAATAAAACTTTAGGGGTTCTTAATTATTATTTGATATGCATGTTTTTTATTATATCAATCTAAAAACCATTTGCATAACAAAAATTAATTGATATACTAAACCTAATCTTGAGTGTTAATTAAAAATAAAAGATTACATAAGCATAATCAAAATAAATATACATGCTTTATTTAATTTTGCATGTTATCATTTATGAAATATTTAAATATGTAAAATTACACTAATATTTGATTTAATAATTGATATTTAATTTTTTTTAAAAGCATGTTTTTTTCCTCTTAAATAAAAAAAAAATGACAAAGCATGTTTTCTTGATTTTTCATATTCTCAATTAAGTGTGACATAAAAGTTGTTGTTTAATTCATAATTTTATAATAAAAAATTATCTTTAGTATGAAAATCTATAAATATTTGTTTTTTTTACACATAAATGTAATTTACTTTCACATTTTTAATCCTATAAAGAGAGGGAAAAGATGAAAAAAAAAAGTCAAGAACCAACAAAGAGTAATATAAAGAGGAAATCCAATTGCCAAAGCAAAAGCAAAATAATAATAAAAAAAAGCCCTTTAAAAATACAACCTTTGAATTGAATTTTGAGAGAGACTTAAAAAAAAAGAAAAACAACAAAAAATACAAATTATTTTCTTCATTATCCATTTTCTTTCTCTCTCTAAAATCTTTCATATTTCTTCTCTCATTCTCTCTCTTTCATCGGATCGTTTCCTAAATTTTCGCTCCAAAAACCCTAAAAAACATTCCCTAGCAATCATAATTTTTTGTTTCCACTTTTTAATTCCCATTTTTATTTGTTCAAAAATTAAATTATTTCCCAAAAAAATTCTTTCTTTATTTTGCGTGTAATATTTTTTAATTTTTTCGTTTAATTCCAATCAAAACCTTTTCGAAAATTTTAATTTGTGCTAATAAATTTTTGGGTTTTCAAACAAGAAAAACGAGAATCAAAATAAAAAACGGTGTTTTTTTTTTTTTTTGTTTGTATTGAAAGTTTGTTTCTTTTTAGTTTTCCTTTAATTTTCTGTAAAAAATTTGGCTTTATGTTTTTTAAATGGAGACACTTGTAACCTGAAAATTTCTTCAATTAAGAGGCTGTTTCTGTCTGGGTTTTCATCAATTCCTCTTAATTTCTCAAAAAAAAAAAAAAAAAACCCAGCTATTTTTTAATTAGAAAAAGGAACAACGTTTGGGCTTGTGTTGAAAAGAGAAATTAGGGAATTATCATAGGGAATTTTGATTTTTCGGATAGTTTCAATTTAGGGTTTTGCTTAATTGGGTGTCTGGGATTATGAGGAATAGTGATGGACAAGGGCAATCTAAAACGCAAGGTGGGGGTGTCGTTTCAAGGTCAGCTCGGAGTTCATTACGTGCCATTTCAAGTTACTTAAGGATCGTTTCCTCCGGGGCTTCCACCGTGGCACGTTCGGCGGTTTCGGTGGCGTCATCGATTGTGGATAGGGAAGATGATTCTGGTTATGATCAGGTAAGAAACAAAAGAATTTTTTTAAAAATTTTTGAGGATTTTTAGGTATTCCATGCGGAATTTGTTATGGAATTAGAAAGCTTACTTGAGTCCAATTTGGGTTTTCTAAAAAAAATTGTTTAAGTATACTAAGTATGCCATGAGTTTTGTTGTAGAATTGGAACGTTATAGTGGATTTAAATTTTTGTAAGACGAAAAGGAGAGCTTCTTTAAGTTCAATTTGGGATTTCCTTAAAAAAAACTTTTGTAGAATTTTAGTATACCCATGTTGAGTTTGTTAAAATGACAAAAAGTTTTAATTTTGGGTTTTGTTTTGGTTATAGGTAGTATGATTTTGAGTTTAGTTTGGTGAAGATATTATCTTGGGCTTTAAATTTGGTATTTACTCTATTTTGAGAATTTTAAATATGGCAATATTGTTGTAGATTTTGAAGTTTTTAGGGGCTTTAATTTTTTTTAATTCAGCTTTTTTTTAATTAATGTTATTAGTAGTGTGTTTCGGTGGTTTTTAGTTTGGTTAAAATTTTCTGAATTTTAATCAGGCCCCTTGTGTCTAATACATATACATATACATATACATACATACATACATATACATATATATATATATATATATATATATATATATATAACACGTGTGCCCTTGGGTGTTAATTTTGTTTTGAGAAGTCAAAGTTGTGATCAGTGGTGTGATTTTTGGGTGCGAGTGTAACTTGAAGAGAGATGAGATGTTAGCTTTAATGTCCAATCTATTGGAATGCTTAACTGTTTGATTATATGATTTATATAATCCCCTTAGGTTTTGTATCATTCTTGGAAATCAAATAAATTTCTACACAAATAAGTAAGATTAAGATTGGGTGGTTTGCTCTGAAAAGCTTACTCTTTTCATTAGAAGCCACTTGCCAACTGGTCTAAATGTGGTTAAACCTAAATATTTGGTTGATAGTACTTTTCATAAGATGACCGATATAATTAAGAATACGTGAAGCTTCCAGCCTCGTACTTCCGTTAGTTACTATAGCACCAAAATATGTTGTTAGGATTGGTTGGAAAGTTTTTAGTTGGCTGTTGGTCGGCATGTTTGTTTGTTTCACACTCTGAAACTTTTCAACGTACTATTGTCATGAATGTTAATCTTTTTGCCAGTAGTCTTTTGTAATTTTTGGCTGATTCTTGTGATTCTACTTTATTTGGCTTTATAAGAGGGCTTACCACGTGTTTTTGATGACCTAACAGTCGGGAAATTTGGAGGGTTTTGTTGTTTGGATCATCATTTTGTAATGACTGAACTCTTGTCTGTAATGGTTGATATAAAAGAGGAGTTTTAGTTGTTATAAAATCAGATCTGTAGTAGGATGCAACACATTTGAATACTTGATTGATGAATGGTTTTTTCGGTTATGATCAGTTACAGGTTTTATTCTCTTTAATACATAGATTAATATAGAGAACTTGGTAAAGAAAGTTGGAGCTTTGGATGGAATTTGCAGGAGTTAATGTGATTAATTAGATTTCATTAATAAGCGATTATGTTTCCCTTTTAAAGATGCCCATCCATAAGGCTGTCTTATAGCTGTCCTTCTCTCTCTTTCTCTCTCCTCTCCCTCCCCTCTTTTTGGGATTTCTGATAATGTTGTCAAAGCCGGACATAGCAAAACATTATGTAAATCAAATTGCAACAAGCTATCCTTCCTTTGCCCAGTTCATAATTGATGCATGTAGAAGATATACTATTAGGTTGGTGCTTTAAAATTGAGCATAGAGCAGATATGACTAATATCATATTCCTCTGTCAAATTTTATGACGTAAAGGTACGTTGGGCTGGCTTTGACAAGTTAGAAGGTGAGGAAGACATCATTCGACAAGTTCTTCTGCTTGGTTATCAGTCTGGTTTCCAGGTTTGGGACATTGAAGAAGCTGATAATGTCCGTGACATGGTTTCAAGACGTGATGGTCCTGTTTCATTTATGCAAATGCTACCCAAACCAGTAGCGGCGAAGAGATCAGGAGACAAGTTTGCAGACAGCCGCCCCCTTTTGGTAGTTTGTGCTGATGGGTCCCTCTCCGTGGGTACTCACATTCAGGATGGTTCTTGCAATGGAAGTATCCCTCACAACCATGATTCAGGGAATGGTAGCGTTGTGCCTACCACTGTCCAGTTTTATTCCTTGAGATCTCAATCTTATGTACATGTGCTAAAGTTCAGATCAGTTGTTTATTCTGTAAGGTGCAGTTCTCGAATTGTTGCTATAGCTCAAGCAGCTCAGGTATGTAACCTTATGCATATTTTTTGAGCACCTTTATGACTACTCAGAGTTTTAGAACAAAGTTTTATATCTTGCAGATACATTGTTTTGATGCCAGAACATTAGAGAGGGAATATACCATTCTTACCAATCCTATAGTCACAGGTTGCCCTGGTTCTGGAGGTATAGGTTATGGACCTCTAGCAGTTGGTCCTAGGTGGCTGGCTTATAGTGGAAGTCCAGTTGTAGGTTCCAATTGTGGACGTGTCAGTCCACAACATCTTACACCTTCTGCAAGTTTCCCTGGTTTTTCTTCAAATGGGAGCCTGGTTGCGCACTATGCAAAAGAATCAAGCAAGCAACTAGCTGCTGGGATTGTGACCTTAGGAGACATGGGATATAAGAAACTGTCAAGATATCTGCCTGATTCATACAATTCTCTGCAATCGGGAAGTCCTGGCTGGAAAGGCAATGGAACTTTTAATGGTCATTCGCTGGATGCTGATAACATTGGAATGGTACATATTCTTCTCCCCAAGTTTGATTAAACCTGCAATTGAGACTAGTATTTTCATGCCCCGTTTTTCAGTTCTCTTGTGCATAATTGTCACCATAGTCTTTGATTTCACATCTGCAAGTTGCTAATCTTGTGTTCTGTTAGACTTGTTTAAAATTTTTTTGTTCAATATCATATGTATTACTATATATCTTTTATTTTGAGGCTTGCATTTCCTCTTATTAAGCACATATTACTAAATAACTCTTTAAGTTGTGCTCTCTCATGTGCCAATTATATTTGTGAAAAGGATGGAAGCAAAACCATTTTTACATACCACTTTATTATTTTTTCCATGGGCTTATCAGGTCATTGTCAGAGATATTGTCAGGAAAGTTGTTATTGCTCAGTTTAGGGCACACAAAAGTCCTATTTCAGCATTATGCTTTGATCCTAGTGGGACCCTTCTTGTGACGGCTTCAGTTCAAGGTCATAATATCAATGTGTTCAAGATTATGCCTGGACTTCAAGGAAGCTCTTCTGCGAGTGATGAACCAGCATCATATGCACATCTCTACCGGCTGCAGCGTGGTTTTACGAATGCTGTAAGACCAACATTAAGTTTTAGTATAATTCTTACCTGTTTTAGCGCCTTTAGTTTTTTTCTTGATCTTTTTTCTATTCTTTTGAGATTTCAGGTAATACAAGATATTAGTTTCAGTGATGATAGCAACTTGGTTATGATTAGTTCTTCAAGAGGGACAAGCCATCTATTTGCTATCAATCCAATGGGAGGATCTGTAAGTTTTCAGCCTGGTGATACTGGTTTTGGTCCTAAAAATAGCAGTTTGGGTGTTATGACAAAGCCACAAGTTCGTTGGCCGCCTAATTTAGGAGTACAAGCACCTACTCAAACAAGCCTTTGTGCATCTGGACCCCCGGTGACACTTTCAGTTGTTAGCAGAATAAGGAATGGAAATAATGGCTGGAGAGGCACTGTAACTGGTGCTGCAGCAGCTGCAACTGGCAGGATGGGTTCATTTTCGGGGGCCATTGCTTCCTCTTTCCACAACTGCAAAGGCAATAATTTTTTGTTTGCTGAGAGCAGCTCTTTGAAGACAAAATACCTTCTGGTTTTCTCTCCTTCTGGATATATGATACAGTATGCTTTACGACTATCGGCTGACTGTGATTCAACACCAGTTGTTTCTGGATTAAACACAGCATATGAGTCAACTGCAGAATGTGATGGAAGGTTATTTGTCGAGGCAATGCAGAAGTGGAATATATGTCAGAAACACACCCGAAGGGAGCGAGAAGATAATATAGACATATATGGTGATAATGGAACATCAGACAACAGTAAAGTATATCCTGAAGAAATAAAAAAGGGAACTATGTATCCCAACCCGTCTGATACCATTGACAAAGCAAATGCTAACCCTGAGGAAAAACGTAATTTGTATATTTCAGAAGCTGAACTGCAGATGCATCAAGCTCGAGCACCATTGTGGGCAAAACCAGAGGTATTACTCTGTGGTTAGGAATTTCTTAGATGTTTGTTTGTGGAGATATGCTTATGCTTGAAGGTGCCAGCTAGCTTAGTTGGTATAGTCCTTTGGTGGTTATGCCTAGGACTTGTGATTACATCTCACCTTCACTAGGGACTGTGTGTCTGTGCACATGCAGGTGTTGTGGAGGAGTTTGTTGAGAGGAAAAGGGGGGGGGGGGGGGGAGAGGGGAGGGATTATCCCCTGTTCTGCAAGTTCGGCCATTGTAAATTGAATACTGAGTTTTTTTTTTTTTTTTAATAAATTTAACTTTCTTCCTGTTTTATTTCTTTCCAGATATACTTTCAATCAATGGTGATGGATGGCATCAAAATAGCTGAAGAAAATGGTTTTGAAGGGGAAATAGAAATTGAAAGGTTTCCAACTCGCATGATTGAAGCTCGGTCAAAAGACTTAGTTCCAGTTTTTGACTACCTTCAAACTCCTAAATTCCAGCAAGCAAGGTGTGCTGAAAGCTATTTATGTCTACCTAAGTTACTGATTCTAAGGATGCATGTCAATTCTTTTTTTACCTGCGCAGAAGTCGAGGTATTTGAGCTTTTTGGTTCATAAAATATCATTTTGAAAGAATGCATCATACATGCAAGTGAAGGAGTAGTTAATTACATGGTATATGATCTATTAATTTAATCAATTGGCTAATGTATATCAGGCTTTTGGTTTCTTTACCCTTTGCTTTTCTCTGCTTTTTTACCAAAGACTATTTCTTACAACTGTTTGATTTGCTTATGTTGACTTTCATGGATAACTCATTAACTCTTATCCTCTGGTTTACAGGATTCCAACTGTAGATAGCAATTGCAATGGACGCCTGCTGCATCAGAGGTCTGGGCTATCTGAAAATGGCCGGCTTTCATGTAGAAGTAGCTCTGGCTCTCTGGACTCAATGACTGAAAATGGTGCTGCAGTTGCTGAACTTCACAATGGCATCGAAGAAACTAGTTTGAATGGTCCTCAGATGCCTATAGGAGCCAAGGGCTTTGTAAATAACAGTGACAGCCCTAAAACCAAAACTCGGCTTGAGATTGTAAATAATAGAGAGAGCTCAAGAATGGAAGCTCAACTCAAGTTTGTAAATAATAACAGTGAGGACCTCAAGATGGAGAATCATTTTGAAGATGAAGGTGATGAGTTTGATTAGAGGTAATCTTATTATTTATAGTCTAATTTCTTTGTTGAATGTTAGAATAAATGTGTCCAAACTTTTCTTCTTCATGAGCATGTATACACCTCAAAAGGATAACTTAGCTAAGTTAAAATCACAAGGTTCATCCACACCTGGATGTTTTGATATTCGTTGTGATACATACTGATATGGTACCATCTACCTGACTTGGAGGCTTCTGTTATCACTCATCATTTTAAGGTGTCTTCACTTTTCATGCCATTCAAGGTCTGCACATACCGCACAGTGGGACATTTTCCACATGCTAATTGTTTCCTGTATGTACTTAATTTGGAATCTTGCAATGAATGCTTAGATTATAAACTTTCCTGCTTGAACATGGTGTGACCGTGGCTTTATTAAGTCAGCTTGAGACAAAGCAGTTTTAAATATACTTTCCTGCTTGAATATGGTGTGAATCGTCCTGTTCTTAAGTTGCGTGAGACAAAACAATTTTAAATATTGATCTGTTGTACCTAACCCATCTTAATCCTTTAATTTTTTCATGTTATGCCTCTAGTAAATTGATTTGATGATAAGCTTTCCGTGTTATGATTGTGATCATGAATTGAAATTTGGGGCCATTCTCTCCTGTTTCAGGTGTGCACTTATTCTTTTTGATTCCCCAGAGGCTCTGATTGACAGAATTAATATTATGGGGTGGCAATGTAAACAAGAGGCAATAGGGGGCTTGACTGTGAAGAGGAATTGTGGATTTATGTTGTTGGGTTTTTCATATATTGAAATTTGTAAATAACAGACAATGAATTCCCAATATTAGTTGTGATATGTAAATAATAGCATTACCTTATAACCCCAACTCGCTTCTATTCTATTAATTAAAAAAGTTTATTTGTTACCATTCATGTTAGATTTTGATCAACTTCTTGGTGTAGCTTTTCCATGTTGCATGTTGCATCGGTAGGGTGTTGAATTTTTCGTTTTAGTATGATATGAGTTCAACTCCTGGTCGACTCAAATGTAAAAAATAAATATATATTTATAACTTAATGATAGTAACTAAATGTTTAACCGACATGATTAAACTTAGATTAATTTTATATGATTGTTTTACAGGTAAATAGATTCCCTTTGACCAGGTGTTATTATAGCTTTCTTTTGATTTTAAATAAAGTTATGTTATAGCTTTCATTTGCATGAAAAAAAAGTAGTTAAACATAATTTTCCTACAGGAAAAAATTAGCTTTCAAATCATTTCTATCACACCAGATTTAGGTTTAATTAACTAAATATACATCTTTTAATGGTAAGGGATTTTTAGGATTAGTAATTTTTTCTTTGAGATGGTTTAAGTAAATTTATTTATATTAAATATAGTAAATTTATGATAAATTAGTTTTTTTCATTCTTTTAATGAATTCAAACTCGAGATAATAAATAAAATAAAATAATAGAAAAAGATTTTATAAGTCTGGATCTTGATTCTTTCATTCATTTAAAAATAAAAAATTAGTAGATAAAAGAAAAATTAATTTTCAATGTTAGAAAGAAAAAGTTTGGTCTCTATGCATATTGGCTTGATTTTTAAAAAGAAAAATGGAAGAATTCCAGTTATAAACAGTGAAGGGAAATTCAAAATTTTTTCTCTATTGCTAAAGAAATTTTCACTCCAATTCTTCCTACCAACACAAAACCTGTCATAAATTTTCAAGTATAATTGATGAGGCTTATCCCAAAATGACTACTTTTCGTATTTCATGATTCAAAGTAATGATTCATAAGTATGAATTCAAGTCTTTTTATTGCATAGATGGTGGTATTGTATGATTTTAATTCAACGTACTTAAAAGGATTCTTAAGTATGGTGGTATTGTATGATTTTGATTCATCGTATCTGATGGTCTGAACAAATGATTCATGAGAATGAATTCAAAGAACATGATGCTTAAAGTTTTCTCCAATGAATGTTGTTTGTATGATACAAAAAATTATGTAGATATTCCTGTGTTTTCACCCCAACAACCAAAGTCCTTCTGAATCAAATCCCACTTGAGACAGACTACAGAAACAGAAAGAGAATGTCATTTTCCATTTCTCATTTTTTCCCCTACAAATGCATAAAACCTTCATTTGTAGGCAAAGCTCAGTTACACCAAACAAAATTTCCCATTATTTTTTTTCCAGGTTTGTTTTTTATTATCTCTCAACTTTAGCATGAGATAAAGAGTCAAATACTTTATCAACAGATCACGCTACTGTTGGCGATCTTTTAACTTCCCTACTTCAAAACCAAGCCAAATCTCCAAACTCAACAAAACAAAGTCTCATGTCTTTTTCTCTTTAACAACCCTTTCTTCTAAAATTCCAGGGAGAAGTGGAAAACCCCCCATTGCATATTTAGCCTGTATGCTAAGCAAGGTTAGGTAACTGACAGCTACAATTTAGACACCCTTTCAAAATTCTTCCTTTTTACAGCATTTCCTGACTTGGGTTTCACCCAGTTCTTGTTCTTCAGCTCAATTCAATTTGCCAAATGAACTGTTCAGAAGAACTCTAGAGGATACCCCCGAGGCTTTGTTTGGCTTGTTTTTGTTGCTGTTTTGGTTCTGTTTAAGACAAGAAATTAACAATGCAGCTTCATATCTCACCAAGTTTGAGGCATGTAACAGTACTTCCGGCGAAAGGTGTAAGAGAATTCATTAAAGTCAAGGTTGGTTCAGGACGGGTTTCCTATCGAATGCTTTTCTATTCACTTCTCTTCTCCACATTCCTTCTTCGGTTTGTCTTTGTTTTGTCAACTGTTGATAGCATTGATGGAGATCATTCCAAGTGTTCCACCATTGGTAAGTTTTCTTAAGACCATATCAGATAACCATTGTTTTTAGCAGCATTCATGTTGCATGTTTTACAATATTTGAGAGAGTGAATAACAAAGCAATTCAGATTCCAATGTTGCAGTTGTCAGATTACCAGGATAATGTAATATTATTACATAAATTTTAACATAAAATTTGATTTCTTTTTTTTTAATTTATGATAGGTTGCTTGGGAAAAAGAATAGGACCAAGGATCTTGGGAAGAAGGATTGAGTCAAATGTAAATTCCTAGCCTCATTCTAGTTATTATTAACAAATTATTTCATTGATTTTTATTTGTTCAAATATTAGATAATAATTAAGAATATCATTCTTTTTAAGTAATGGCAATGAGTTTGTGGGTTATTGAAGGTCCCAGAGGTGATATACCAGATACTAGATGAACCTGTAAGAAAAGATGAAGTACAAGGAAAAACTGATATTCCTCAGACATTAGAAAAGTTTATGGCTGAAATGAAAGAAGGCAGATCAGATGCAAAAACCTTTGCTCTAAGGCTTAGAGAAATGGTATTCATTTGAATTTTTTTTTCTTATATTTATATATTGTAGTTAATCAATGAAGAGAAACATTGTTCCTGATAAACAACTTGACATTTTTTTTTCAGGTAGTTCTACTTGAACAAAGAACCAGAACAGCTAAAATCCAAGAATATTTGTACCGCCATGTAGCATCCAGCAGCATACCAAAACAGTTGCATTGCTTAGCACTAAAGCTAGCCAATGAACACTCCAACAATGCCGCTGCTCGCCTCCAGCTCCCCTCAGCAGAACTCGTTCCTGCCCTTGTCGATAATTCTTACTTCCACTTCGTCCTTGCCTCAGATAATGTGCTTGCAGCCTCAGTTGTTGGAACATCCCTTGCAAAAAACGCGTTACGCCCTGAAAAATTTGTGCTACACATAATAACAGATAGGAAAACTTACTCCCCAATGCAGGCCTGGTTTTCATTGCATCCTTTAGCACCTGCTATAATTGAAGTTAAGGCATTGCATCAATTTGATTGGATTTCAAAAGGGAAGGTTCCTGTTTTGGAAGCAATGGAAAAAGATCAAAGGGTAAGGTCACAGTTCAGAGGGGGGTCATCAGCAATTGTAGCAAATAATACCGAGAAGCCTCAAGTTATCGCAGCAAAACTACAAGCACTCAGTCCTAAGTACAACTCCTTGATGAATCACATTCGGATACATTTGCCAGAGGTAAAGTATAAACAACATTTTGAATTAAGCGGATGGAAAGGAAAGATATATTTCAAGTACTAATGACCTTTCTCAACGACATTTTCTTTGCAGTTGTTTCCCAGCCTAAACAAGGTTGTCTTCCTAGATGATGACATTGTGATACAAACTGATCTATCACCTCTATGGGACATTGATATGAATGGAAAAGTTAATGGGGCGGTGGAAACATGTAGGGGTGAAGATTCATTTGTCATGTCAAAACGGTTCAAGAGCTATCTCAATTTCTCCCATCCTTTGATTGCAAAGAATTTTGATCCTAATGAATGTGCATGGGCATATGGCATGAACATTTTTGATCTGGATGCTTGGAGGAAGACCAACATTAGCCTTACATACTATCACTGGCTTGAAGAGGCAAGTTCCATTATCAATATCTTCTATTTTAGTAACCTTTAAAATATTGATTTTAGATAAACTGGTTTCGGTATCCTGACTGATTCAATTAACCCCTGCAGAACTTGAAATCAGACCTCAGTTTGTGGCAACTTGGCACTTTACCCCCTGGTCTAATTGCATTCCATGGTCATGTTCATGTTATTGATCCCTTTTGGCACATGTTGGGATTGGGGTACCAAGATAATACAACTTTAGCTGATGCTGAAACAGCTGGGGTCATCCATTTCAATGGAAGAGCAAAACCTTGGCTAGACATAGCCTTCCCTCAACTTCGACCTTTATGGGCCAAATATATCGATTTCTCTGATAAATTCATCAAGGGTTGTCATATTAGGGCATCTTAACAAGGATTTTGAGAGAGTGCAGTTACCATAATGATGATAAAATACATGTTTGTATATGAGAAAGAAGAGAAGAGAGAGTTCTTTACAAATTCAAGGCCTTCAAACTTCAATATAGATTCTGAAATGATAACAGCAACAATAAAGAAATTGTTGTAGCACACCAAAAATGTCTTGAAGATGCAAAACCTTTCTGATTCTTGAGACTTATACCACAAGGCATCTTTGCCACGAGATTAATCAACTAAACATGAAATTAGATAATGATAGTTGTGATATTTATCAATAAAAAATAACAAGAAAACATCTAAGATTGTGTCAAAGAGAGCCAAAGTTTCAATGCTTAAGTGTACTTTACTAATGATTAACCTTCTTTCAGAAATTCCACAGGGCAACTGCAAAACCTGTAATGCACATTAACTAACAGTATCAATTGATCAAGCAAAGATGCATTCATACATTTATGGTAATCCAGTGTTTCCTTAAGGTAATGATGGTAACAGAAGTGGCTAGTGAGCTATAACATCAAATTCAAAGGATTCAACCATTAACACCAACAAGTTCAATAGGTTGCCGACTTTTTGAGCAATAAGGCAAGTTCAACTGCTTGATATGTCCATTTGACATTTTTTGTTTTCACACAAAAGGACAAAGGAAAATAACCAAACAACATTAGACATGTGCAATTTTTCATTGCTATTTGGCAATAAGAAGTTTATTGTCTATATTCCCAATCCTTCTTTCATGTTTCTCCCCAGTCCATTTCTGACAGCATTCAGCAATCCTCCATATCCAACAAGGGAGTTGCTGTTATAGGAAAATTCTCATACCAGAACACACAAAATATCAGTCTCAATGACTGTAGAAAAGTACAAGAAAGTCAAATTCAGAGAAGCACACGTTCAATACAAGTAGTGGTCAATCAGAATGCAATTGATGCATCGGAAAATTTTCAACAGATAGCCTGTAAAACTACTCAATCATGAGGGGAAAGATCATGATAGATCGAACTTCAAAATCCAACAACAATTACTTCTTTCCAGTAACATTAGACACCAAATCTCTCAAGAACTTGGCAGATTTTGTAATAGGTGAATTGATAGCCATCAAATTGTACAACACATTCTCAACTTCCTCAATGCCTGGCCGCGACTTGAACCTTGAAACTACCTTCAATTCACCATTTTCTTCAACAAAAACTGCCCATTGTTCTCCACTCAAAACCCCATTTCTCACACACTTGAAAACCATTCCTTTCCTTTTACTCAAAACACCCCTAACCTCTAACCCCATAAATGAATAAATCACATCAACAGATCCTACAAATCCCTTCAAATAACCAAAACCACTCTCTTCCTCAGAACCCCATTTAGGATTGAAAATCACCAATGGCTTTGGATACAAACTGTCAGCTATTGTTTTTATAGCAGCAAGCTGAGATGGCTCTGGTGCCAAAAAAACTGCTACATCAGCAGAACTCAAAACTCTGTTGTTTCTGTTAACAGAAGGTAAGTCAATATGATCAACATGGCTCAATGAACATGATTCAAATGCTTGAATTCCAGCTTCTTTTAAGCTAACATTAGGCCAAAGAGCTAAAATCTCAACCAAAGAACCTTTCCTTTTGATGGACATATCTTTAAAGATATCAAGAACTAATTGAATAAGAGAAGATGGTGAGTCATCAATGAGTGGGATTTCAACTTGAAACCTGGGTTGTTTTAGCTTCTTGAGCTTGCCTGCTAGCTTGGGATTGTTGAGAGGCTTCTCTAAACAGGTGGAAAGGCATGTTTTGGCTTGAAGAATGGCATCTTCTTTGGACGAGGGAGGTGTAGGTGAGGAAAGAGAGGAGTATATTGATAGAGAGTGAATCTTGTGCTTGTAGGAGGCATTTGGGTTGATGAAAGAGAGATGGGAAAGATGATTGTACGGATGGGGAGGGAATGGAGTCTCGCTTTTGGAGGTTTGAAGAGTAAGCTTGAGAAAATTGGAAGCCATTTTAGGAGGCTTCAACTGAGTGAGGAGCTGGTGGCTTGAGAACATAGTTAGTTGAAAGATGGTCTAAAAAGATAAGATATAATTGGCGTTTTGCAACCACACAAAAATTTTTCCAGTAATTACTTTTTAAAAAATCCATATTTAACATTATTATCTTGAAGTCTCATTTTCTGGAGCAAACTTGAATTATTTTCATGTCGGCTTTTCCCATCGGATCAAACTTAAACGATAGGGGAACCTACAATTTGGGGGTAATCTGAACCATTCTGATTTACTACTTAGATCATAACCCATTTCCAATCTCATTACAAAAGTTACCTGAGGGCTTTGAGCCTCATATAGGTAAGATCCTAAGGCCATACCCAGGCTGAAAAGCTCAATAGCTTCTCTGTTTGGTTCCAAATTATCTTTGGTAGAGTTGAGGTCAACTGAATTGCTTGTATATAACCAGAGGCTTATAGAACAGAGAAACATTGGACAGACAGATGAAATTATTAAAAATTTACATGTGATTACCAGCATCAAATTATAGGGGTACAATGACAGTCACCCAACAAATCCAGTTAGAAACTTCAGTAACAACTAAAACAGCCCAGAACAATGACAAAATGAATACACTTGTTTGCATCAAAATGCAAACCCAAATCATTGAAGGTTGCCGGCTTACGCAACTGGAGGGCGGAGTACATGATCCTGTGAGGTATCCACTGCTGCAGGTGGCATGAACTGCCACATGGCAACTCCAGGATAACCAATGAAAGGAACCAACTTGTTCCCAGGAGCTTGACCTTGGGCAGCAGCAAATGCAGCAGGGATTGCAGGTGCGGGAGGAATGAAGCTAGGTTGTGCATTAATGGCTTTGAGTTGCTGCTCCAGCTTTTCCTTCTCTGCCTTAAGCCTCTGCTTTTCGTCACGAAGCTCATTCTTTTCAGCCTACAAACAGAGGAAATACAGTTTAGTATGATGCAGCAGATATTGTTTTTTTAATCATTTTCAAGATAACAACAGTTTCCAAATAGTAAAGTGCATGCTAAAGATTTTACAATATTTTAACAAAAAAAACCCTCAGGCAGTCTCACCTTCAACTCTTTAATCCTTTCCTGGAGACTTGAATTCGAATCCTTCAATTTCTGGGCTTCACCTCTTAATTGGGTCACCATTCGAACAGCATCAATCAAAATAGCAGCCTTATCTGTTTTGGGAGGCCTTCCAGGTTCCAAAATAGAACCCAGCTCCATAAACCTGTTATTTAAACAATGCTGAATATTCATGCTATGCAGAGAAAGAAAGAAAGTAAAGAAAACGCAAGAGAAGAGAGATGGGAGTACTTGTCATTTAGCCTATCCCTACGCAACTTCTCCCTGCATGCTTTGGAGCTAGATGGGTTGCACGATTCAGATCTAACCCTGTAACAGGAAATAAAATAAGAGATAAGATTCCTCTGATATCAAGCTTTAGTCAAGTCAGTTTTTTGTTAACATGATTGAACATTTGTAGATACTGAGTCAATTATTTCAATAACAAAGCAAAGGAATATTCAAGAAGATTCTCAAGCTCATGCTACATCTAAATCATCTTATTGATGCTGCTAGACTGACAGTATTTCCTGCTTACTTGAAAAACTATATGGTATTGCAACAGGTTAAAAGCTAACAAAAACTAAAATGCTTTAGCTCTTCAAAAGTAAATGCCCCTAGATATTATCTTACTTTTGTCTAATCAATATCTCATGGCCAGAAGTATGCCCAAAAGTTTGGAATACTTTTATGTGATTCCTTTAATAAAGCTATTCTAAGCTCACCAAATCAGTTCTTAAAATTTTTCTAAACATACATACGAGAAAATAAGAAGTGAAAACCAACTCATCATGAAAGTGGAACCGGTGATAGATTTTTTTTTCAAATCTCTAGCAGATCGAAGAGAGCATGTAAAGACAGAATAGTACCTCTTCTTTGAACCAGATTCCTTAAGGCCATCTGAATCCCCAAATGAGCCATCAATGTCCACACTAGGAACACATCATACCACACAAGAAAGAAAATATGAGAAACAAAAGCTACAAGATATCCAAGTGAACATAGTACAAGCCAATGTTAGAAGAACAGCTCCCCACCCCCAAAAAAAGGAGAGAGAAAATTTCACTTGCCAACAATACAGAAGCACAACATGGTTGTCAAGGTTAAGTGAAAACAACAAAGAAGTGGAAGATCTACACTGGAATGAAAGTTATAAATGTTCCAAAAGGAAACTCCTCAAAACAGATAAAGAGGTCATAATTAAAACAACTTCTTAACCAAATATACGATTTCAGAACCGATGTTTTTCTTTCGTTCAAAATTCCAAGATATGGTGGATAAAGCATCAAATACTGGTATACATAGGAGCAATGACTAAGGACCTCAATTAGGCTCTTGATAGCATTTCAAAGAAGTTAATCCCAGATATGCTAATACCCTCCCAATGGATCAGAATTCATATTCCATAAATATCTCAAAGACCCAAGAAGCAAGAATCAAAATCTCATACTCCATATAAACAACATGCCTAATCAAGTGCACATCAAAACTGTAATTGCACAGTAACTACAACGGGACACCCTAATCAACCTTTCCATGAAACCCAGTTCATGCATCATACATAAAAAAAAAAAATCCATGAAAAAAATGGTGTAAAATCAGAACTTTATGACAAATTCCAAGAAAATAATCAGATTAAACAAAATAAAAAACCCCAGATGATTAAAATAATTGCAAAACAAAGACAATTAATCAAATAAAAAAATTGCAAAACCCTAATTGAAAATTAGAGAGAGAGATATTTTGGGGATACCTAACAACATTAGAAGGGGCATTAATTGGCTGCGCGGACCAAGAAAAACCAGAATAAGGTCCGTCAGGGACAGGGATATCGTCGATCATGGTTGCGTAATCAAAGTGAGACCAATAATTGGAGTTTTCAGGGGACACCATTCTGCACTGACTTTGAATTTCGCTGGAAAGTTTAAAGGGTTTTGTTTGATTTTCCAGCTTTGAAAAAGAGAGGGGTTCTGTTTGGGAAGACAGAAAATAAAAGATGGGTCTCCCCTTTTGAGAAAAAAAAAAAAAGCAAAAGAAAGGAGATTGGGGAATGTGTGGAAAACGTTGGGGATTGGTGGAAAGTGGCGAGCCTATCAAGTTGGAAACTTCTTGGGTTTTTTGGGCTTCAAAAGCCCAGTTTACAACTTGGACTAAGTTTTAAATTCTTTCATTATACCTTTTATTAAAATCGAAATATTTCAATCACCGAACATTTGATTTAATGATAAATATATAATTTTGATCAAAGATTTATATTCAAATTTTGAATTCATTCATTATCCAATTCAAATAAAATTTGAATTTAATTAATACATCAATTCAACTGTGCCAACAACTTTAATAGACTTTCAAATTTAATAGAATTTAAATTTTAAAATTTTAAAATCACGAATAAAATAAAAAATTATGAATAAAATAATTGAACAAGTAATCCCAAAATTATAATTGTGGGGCATTTGATAATAATAATTGTTGTTTTCCTATGCTACATGTTCATTCATGGCCCAATAAATTAATAAGAATTTTGATGCATACCATAGTAAATTTATTATTAGGGCACATCTAGTTGAAGGCAACTTTTGGTGACCTTATTATAAATTATGCTCCAACTTTTAGGAAATGTGAATTCCATGTTTCTTATACAAATCATATGTTTATACTTTTTGTTACTTTTGTTTTGCAAAATTACTCATATGCAAACCTTCCTTTTGGTTTATATTTTTGCTTTAATAATGAACTAATGGAGCCTATAGAAAGAAACTTTTCCTTGCTTTTAACTCAAAGTTGTTAATATCATATTGGATAATATTTCAATTTTTTTAAAAAAAATATGAGATATTTTCAGTATCAATTATTTTGATATATTATTTCAAAATTTTCGATTTAATACAAATATATTTATAAACATATATGAACATGTACATTATAATGTTATTAATAATCTACAAAACAAATATGCAATATATTAAAAAATCAAATAAATAAGTTTAAAAGCATAAGAAATAATATCATAAATTTTTCATAATATTTTTAAAATATTTAATTTGATCATATAATGTTTAAATAAGTATTTTTCATATAAGTATTGAGATAAAAACAAATAAATGAAAAAAATTAACCAAAACTTTGTGATTGTTAAACTTTATAAAATGAGTATAATTGTTTTCTTGAAAAAAAATTAAAATATTTATAAACTTTGGTTTGAAAAAAATAAAGTATAAAAAATTAAAATAAAAAATAACAAAATCAATTTTTAAGGATTAGTTTGTCAATTAATTTTATTTTTATTAGGTTAAAAATAATTAAATAACAAAAAGCAAGTTAAAAACTACAAAATATATTCCACATACACATACCAATCAAAATATACTTTTTTACTAAAATTTACCAAAATAGGCCAAAACTAATGAAAACAATTGATCTTATCTGATATTAAATTCGATACAAAAAATTATTTTTAAATGTATCTTATTTTGATATAACTAAAGTGTACCAATTAATACGGTTGATACCAAAGTAAAATTAACAACTATGTTTTAACCCCTCAAACATAATCAAAATCAATATCAATATCAAAATGCAATCCTCAAATTTCTAAGAAAAGAAAGTGATAGTAATCCACTTCTTCAAGTTACAAGACAAACAAATCCAAACCCACAAAAAAAGAAATTGAAGGGATCAAACACTAAAAATCTTGTTTACAACATGTTTATATTTTATGTAGTTTTATTGGAGCGAATTTGGTGAGCAAAATCTTCAACCCTTTTCCTTATCTCATCAGGATTGGCACCAACAAGCTTGTCAATAGGAGCTCCTTGCTTCATCAACAAAAAAGTTGGCATGGCCTTGATCTCCATCTTGGATGCTACCCCCTATTTGAGGATAAAAAATTTTCACAAAAACATGAATATATTATTAAGACAAAAATATAAACATAACCCTTTGTTGTCATATGATTCAATGTTTTACAAGAAAAAAGTAATCAAGTACTAGAATTATAAGTTTATTTCATTTCATTTTTGTTTATTTTACTGGATTTGTCCTTGTAGGTAATTTGCAAGTGAGAACATGCCAAAGTTCTCTATTTTCAAGGGCAATGACCATATAGATTCAAACAAAATATGATAAACATTTTGAAGTCCTGAATCATGTGAATATATCATTTTCTGATTATTCCGTTCATGTGTGATGTTATTATTTTGTGGTTAACGTGCATCATTCATAAATTTAAAGCAAAATTACCTTAACATCATCCACATCCACCGAAAGAAACAGAATATCTTGGTAGCTCAAGGCCAGTTCTTCAAAGAAAGGATTCATGGCCACTGAAGGCATGCACCAAGCAGCTGAAAAATGCACCATAACCTACAAAAATATTACAGAAAAATGAAACGAATCCACAATAAAGATTGACGAAAGATCAAACTTATACCATAAGTCTGAATATTTTGAATTTGAATACTTATTAAATTTGTTTCGATGCGTTTAAATATACCGGAAAAAAACAGTAATACTCAGTACTGCATAGATTACTTATACAATAGTAAGCATGCATGCAAATGAACAAAGGTTTGAAATGGAGAAGACGGCTTACAGGGCAGCCTTGATTGTTAGCTTGTTTGATGAAAAAATCCCAAGAGTCTTCTGACTCTATTTTAACAACTCTAGACTTCATTTTCTGAGTTTGCCTATCCATCTCTTCTTTCTTCCACTTCTCTCAACTGGGAATGTGTTGAAATTTATAGAGGGATTTGGATCAAGGTAGGTAACATCCAGCCATCAATGAACTGTTAGCTTGACCGTATTAAAATCGACTTTAAAATTAAAATTTCGAATTCAAATTTTAATTAATAAAAAAATAAGCATTATTGTTAAAATGGTTTTATCTCACATATAATTATATCTAATTTTTTATAATTTTATATTTAGATTGAGTTCTTTTACTTACAATCAATTTAAGTTAAATATTTAACATAACATCAAAATTAAGATTTTTTTCTATTTTTTTTTTCAAATCAGGATTTTCTTCTATTACACTTTCTAAATCAAGATTACTTTTTGTTATTTTTTCTAAATTTGTCACATGATAGATTTTTTTTATTTTCCTCTGACACGTAATAGGAAATGTTAAAGTGATTTTATCTTATATCTAATAAATATATAATTTTTTATAATTTTATATTCAAATTAGATCTCTTTATTTATTATTAATTGGTTTTAACATGATATCAAAATTAAAAAAATTTTTTATTGTCATTTCAAAATTTGTCAAGCAATAAATTTTTTTTCATTTCCATTTACATATGATAAGAATATGTTAAAATAATGTTATTATATATTTAATAAATATATAATTTTTTATAATTTTATATTCAGATAATAAAAAATTATTAAAATAATATTATTTTATATCTAATAAATATATAATTTTTTATAATTTTATACTTAAATTAAATTTTTTATTATTAATTAATTTTAAATTAAATACTTAACTTATTAATAATGAGGACTAGGCTCTTGGCTTCTTTCTTTGATGCTTTGGATTTCTTTAGTCTAATATTTTTATATATTTTTTAAATGATCAGATATTTTCAAGTTTTATATTTCCAAAAAAAAAAAAAAAACCATCAAAATTTTCTAGTATGCAAAGGCTATGATGTTTCTTTGGCACAAATTTCAATGATTTGAAACCCACATGTTTTTCTCATTTGATTCAAGCAAGTCATCAATGATTAAGAAATTTATCCTTATCACCAATCACTTATGCAGACTCTCATTAAGTTAATAATAAATGCTAAGAGGAAACAAACTTTTGCCATGGCCTGCTTATTCATTTTCCTTTTCACACCAATGAGCCAATGGCACAAAATAAACATGCAGTTAAGCACTGTCCTAGGCCTACCTGTGTCAACTATGGTGTTAGAGTCATGCTGATGTGAGGTTGCCTTAAATCTTTGGCTGCTTAGCAAAAAATTATTTTTTATTTTAATATTTAAAATTATCAAAATTTAAATTTTAATAATTGAAATTAAAGTTTGCTTTTTAATTGTTCAACTTTTAAGAATTTAGGTGAATTTTGCTGACTTAAAGTTGTACACCAATTTAACATTACACATGAATTTTTTGGGCCAAGCATTGTGTTTTAAACATAGATAAAGAGAAACATGTGATAAATATATAAGAAAATAATTACTTTCTCTTAAGATGAGAAAAAAATTGAAAAAATTAAAAATTAATTTAAAATTTTAATATTTGATTCAGTTTGAATCAATTTTTTTATTCGATTTGAATTAAATTTAGATATTAAATATATATTAAAGTTTGGATGAAAAACAAAAAAAAATGAATCGAATTGAATTATAATTTTTTTAATTTATATATATTTTTTTAATTTTTATAAAATAAAAATAATAATTTTATATAAAATTTACTTAAATATATTAAAATTTTATATTAAAATAATATATAAAAAAAAAAAATTTAAAAAATTAGTAAACTAAACCAAACAAATAAAATTTGATTTAATTAAATTCAAATAATATGAAAGCTCGATTTAAATTCAAATCAAATTTTAAAAATTTATAATATTATATAATATTTAAAAAAACAAAGTACATTTCATCTATTTCGAATCATTATCATCCTTACTTGCTCTGTGAAGGAATAGCAAAGGAAATATAAAAATTAGTTTTTTTTTTTTTTTTTATCTATAGATAATGGGTATTTTCCAAAACTTGAACCCAAAACTATTTGATCAAATGCAAGTTTTATCCCTTTTGGCTTAAATTAAAATTTGATAATTTGTTGAAGAAATGGATAAAAAAAATGAAATTCCAACCATGTTTGCAAAATGCCTATACTGTCCTTGATATGGATATCATTCTGGTGGTCAGTAGTTTCCGATGCTTGCAGAAAAGGATATAACTGAAATACAAAGAAGCCTCACTCGTATCAGTAACTTAACAGTATAACTCTTGCTCAATTTCTCATAAAAATGGCTCATTTAGCTAACTTAAATGGAATCACTGAGACCCTGACAGCCATTCTAAAGCTTCCTGGCATTCAAAGAACCCGGAAAACATCGAAAACAATTGGGTTTCTTGGCAAGAAAACAGAAAACTTCCATGAACAACCATTGCAGACTACCAGAAGAATGGCATTAGGCCTTGCTTCAATTGCTCTTGTTGGAACTTCTAGCAACAGTATCTCTCATGCTGAAGATAACGGCTATTGGATTACTGATCTTTTACCTGTTCCTTCTGTGGAAAACAGTAAGCTTTCCCATGATCATTTACTTGATACAAATGAACTTCCATTTTCCCTAGTGAATTCTGCTTGGTTTCTTTCTTGCTACTGTTCAATGCTTGTGATACAAAATGCATATGAAAAGAAATGTTCCATTTTTGTTTCCCAAATGACAGATATTGCAAATGAGAAGACCGGTACTCGTTCTTTTGTCAAGAAAGGACTCTATGTGGCTAATCTTAACACCAAAAACCGCATGTATAGGTTGAAGAAATATGCATTTGATCTTCTTGCAATGGAAGATTTGATTGGACCGGATACTCTGAATTATGTTAAGAAGTATTTGAGACTCAAGTCTACTGTTATGTACTATGATTTCGACAACATTATCTCTGCAGCAGCAGTTGATGATAAGCAACCTCTCACTACTTTGGCCAACAGATTATTTGACAGCTTTGAAAAGGTAAATCAATCTTTAAATGAAACTTGTCATCGATTTCAATGTTCAAGCTGCTTAAAATTTTCCATTTTGTTGGCAGCTTGAAGATGCAGTAAAGACACGTAACTTGCCCCAGACAGAATCATGTTATCAGGACACAAAAGTTATTCTCCAAGAGGTTATGGATCGGATGGCCTAAAGCTGCAGAATTTGCTTTTTCAATATTGGCAAAACTATATGCTCTGCATGTTGCAGCTCATTTCAACTAAAAGTACATTGGCATATATGATGTGGGAAAAGGGATAATGGTGTTTGATTTAGGTAAGAAGCAATTTTGGCAAAACAAAATAAAAGAAAGAGCAAGAAATAATGTAATTTAATATTGCATTGATTCCATGAATGGAAATGTTGAAATCAGCTCAGCACCAGTTATACAAATGTAGAATTGAAGGGATTGCTTACTAAAATACAGGTGCAATGACTACTATACAGATAACAACCCGCTTATGTTAGAATCACTCTCATTTCTCAATCTAACAGTAACATAGATACAGATAACTAAGCATGGGAAAGAAACCAAAAAAATAAAATAAAGGTTTTCTTATAAAAGATCAACCATAGCTCAAACGAGAATCTGAAGTCCGTATGTTGAGTTGTCGCCGTGGAGTCCCTATCTCGCAAGCATTAACTCTGGCTGCGAAACGCAATGAGCAGAGCGACTCACCCACTGAGGAGGGTTCAGGAGATATATTTACGAACATCAGAGTCTTTGAGTCCCCGCCTAGACATGGCTGGTTAACCATGGGAGAGAAGAAAATTAGATATCATGTAGGCAAGAATCAGATAGAACACCAGAAATGACACTTCCAAGCAAAAGGATTCTTGTAAAATTTTCGGCAAAAGTGAAAGATATAATATAGCCAACAAGAGTTCAAAATGAAGGATGACAATCTTTAGTAAAGGCACGAAATAGGAAACCTTTCCAGCCTTTGACTTTTAACAGGTTATATTCCTCTAACTTCCAATCCAAGTTAACATTGCAACAAGGGAGTGAAATGGTAGCAAGAAATAGTAAAAGTTTATAAATGAAGAACTCTGCTGCACAGCAGTAAAGACTAGGAAGATCTTATTCAACTAAAAAGTCACCTTACTATGTTTTATTATCAATAGGCACATGAATTCCATGTTTTCCACAGGCAAAGTATAAAATCAAAGAATATAACTTTAACTCCATAGGCCTTAATTATAGAAAGGAAAAGTTTTGTTATATTGAGAATTGAGACTGTATGTGTATAGATTTACCTGAAGAAGATAAGTGAGCTTTGAGTTCCTAAATGGTACATGATCCTCCTTCTTTGCCAATGCAAATATAACATCAGCTAAAGACGATAGACTTTTATTAATGGCCTGAATAAAATTGAAAAAGAAAAAGTCAAAAAAAAAAAAAGAACAACATAAAACGAAATTAAATAATAAGTAGAGTTAAAATACTTGAGTCTCTTTTAACCGGTCCCCTGTTGAGCCACTTTTGGAAAGACGCTCACTTCCAGCAAGATCAATTAGATTCAAAACACCTTGCACTTGTTGTTCAGTGCCCTGGAGGACGATAGATACATGGTCAAATATACAATACATTGCATTAGCTCACGGAAGAAAAGATTGGGACTGGTGTAGCATCATATTTGCACAGATTATAGCAAAAATGCACTTTTACCTCATTAACACCAGTTATTCGCATTGTGAAAACAAAATGACTTCTTGATGATTGTTCATTCATTTGAGTTTTCCCAACAGATCTGAATGAGACAAGCACAAACTTCATCAGTCCATGATTATCTCTCTTAGAAAGAATTCTGATATTTCTCATCTGAAATTTTCAATGGGACTGATGTTGGATACAAACAATACAATGTGTACTCTAAAGTGTATACCTGCTATGTGCAGCCCTATCTAAAAGAAATGAGACCTCTCTACTACTTTGAACATCCACAATTGTAAGATCTGAGACTTGTGTGTTTCCGTTTGCATCATGTTTAATTGTATATTGCTTTCCAGCAACACCATTGTCAATTCGTGATGCATCCCTGTTTGTTGATAACAAATCACGAATTGTTTCATTGTATATTTCTAACATTGAGACCTGTGAACATTTGCAGAACAAAAAAGTTTTCTAATTATCTAGAGAAGATATGAATAGACTAGAATATAGAAAGCAAACTAAGGAGGAAGGGAAATAATGCACACCTGCATTTCATATCTCCAGCCTTGAGGTTGAAGAGCTTGCCTAGTTTGAAATATTTGTTCTAATGAACGGGGTATTAATCCCTTCTCATCTGGCTGTCCTGGTTCGCCCATCATGGTGTAGGTTTTACCTGACCCTGTTTGCCCGTAAGCAAAAATGCAAACCTGTGGACAGATAAAACAGTTGCATGATGAAGCATTTATGATGCTACTAGCATGCATTAATGTATCTAAGAAAATCATTGTGACATTCACATATGCATATAAAACAATAACCTTATAACCATCAAGGGCACTTTGGACAAGTTGTGATATTTCTACAAAAACTTCCTCTTGTGATGCATCAGGCATAAATACTTTGTCGAAAGTGAAAGAATGTTTCTGCCCTGATAAATAGACAAACATCAAATGAGCTTTGTGTTATGTCATATAGCATGCTATAATAGATTTTTATAATTTAAGTATATTGGTTCACTACCATTTTGTGTCATGTCAATGCCGCGTCCAAGATATTCCATTGATGTGGGATAAGAGAAAACCTTCCCTTGGTTGCTTGAGTTTTCATCAGGCAACTGAGGCCTCACTCTGCAAAATACACGGATGTTACCCTTCAATTCCTACAATAAAAAGGCAATATGTTAGTAAAACATATTTGTGGTAATGTTAACATAAGATGTAGTTTAGAACATTACCAATATAGTATTATGCAACTTCTTACGTAGTTTCTCCCCTTCTATAAGCTTAAGTTCTGCATCTTCTAAGCGATTTTGTAACTCATTTATTAGTTTCTTTTGCCCTTCAAATTCAATTCTTGTCTCAAGTGCAGACATATCAGACATCTAAAATTGGGAAAGAAGCATGATTATGATGAATTAAATTGACTATAATGATATAAATAGTTTTTGAGAAAAATAGATGAAATAACCTGTAATTTCCTTTCTGCAACTGCTAGTTGATCATGCAAAATTTGTATTTGATTACCTTGCGACAAGCATTTTTCCTGCAAATGATATACAACATATCAGATTAGATTCATGTTTAATGGGAAAACAAAGTAAATGAGAAGCAAAAACTAACCTCTAATTCGCTTGAGTTGGTTGCCAACTCTTTGTATTTAGATGCTTCAGCAACTAGACTTTGTGCTTGCTGTTGATAGCGGTCACGATCATCTTTGGTCTGGTGTAGCTCCATTCTAAGACATGCAACTTCATTCAGCAAAGCATCTTTTTGCTTCATAGCCTCATCTTGGGAAGCCTAACTCAATTGATAAAACATTTTTAAGAGATTAAGCTAGAATATAAAAAATGAAAAATAAAGAAAGAAGAGAATGTCCAATAATTTGGAATTTGGAACAGAAGGCACCACTAATCAATATGTCAATACTCGAGCCTCTTTTAAACCGTATATCACTTCCAATAAGTTAGAGTCACCTAATTAATCATCAATTTTAAATCTTTTTACAATACATATGATTTTCTCTTTTTTCTTTTTGTGTATTTGAGGTTGTCAGAGATTGATTTCTAGTCACTAGAACTAAAACTCCAGCACTCTCTTTATATCATTTCCAGGAAATTTTTCAATATCTCAGAACTTTAAAGAAATTAATCCTCTTCTTGTAACAAAAATTTCAATTACGATACAATATCCCATTTCTGCTAAGTAGATAAAATGAAGTGTAGATAAGAGAAGTTGCCGGTTAGAAAATTCAGTAGGGCAAACCTACTATAGATAAACTCTGACAACTAAAAATCAAGCATTGTGCTTAACGTGCCATAAAAAGGCCAGATTACCACACATGATAAAAATATGTAACAAGAGATGGCTTTCCAACATGGAAACTCACTATAGATGAAATGAGTTGATCTTGCAATGATTTATGTTGACCCCTTAAGTTGTGAAGATTCTCCACTATGGCTGATCTCTCTTTCTCTCCACGCTTAATGGTTTCATGAGCTGCATCAAGATCAGTCTGGAGTTTACTGTTATATAACTGTAAACTTGAGTTGTACTCTTGTAGTAGCTTGTACATATCATTAATTGATGCTATCTGCAGCATTCAAGAATCAAATGAGTTAACCTAAGTAAATTTATATTCTAAATACAGCAACAGTAAAAACCAAGGTGCAACGGATTTTGGTGACATCAAATTTTCATTCTTATATTTACCCTTTGATTGGCACTGTCAAGCTCGCCTTGAACTTTATCAAGTTCTTCTGAAAGAGAAGCCTGTGCCCTTTCAATACTAATCCGAGCTTCTTTTTCTTTTGCAAGAGAATCCACTGCAGCCTAATTGTCATATTCAAAAGAACTAATCACTTTCCAAACACCAAAAAAAAAAAAAAACCATGAAAAGTTTATGACTAAAACATGTTGGACTAAAAAAAAGATATCACCCTTCTTACCTTCTTCTCCGATTCTTCTTTTGCAAGCTTCTCTTGTAAGGAAGCCAAGCTTTTCCTAAGCTCCAAAATTATCAAATTCAGTTCTTCCTCCTTGTTTTTCAGAGCCACCTCTGCAAGAAAATATATTATTTTACATTCAAAAATGAACCTATACAAGCATAAATCATATAAAACAAAGTGAATAAATGATTCATACCCATTTCAGAGCATCTCCTCTCAGTCAATTCCAAAGCAGTCCTTAATTTCTCTTGTTCAAATGCATACTCTCCCTCAAGTTCTTGGAACCATTTAATACATAGCCTAAGCCTCTTTATATACTCCATCATGTTCTCACATCTCTCCTGAATTAACCAAAACAAGCAAAAATCAAAACTAATTCAAACTAAATCACCATAAATACAACAGATCACACTCACCTTGTAGTTAAATTTGTTCTTGTATTTTATTTTCTCACTCACTAATGCCTCCACATCCTCTCTAGTGAACTCAATGCCACCACATTCTGAACCTGCATTACTCGCCGGCGCGCTATTGGGGCCAAGATCTTGGGAGCCGTTTACAAGTGAAAAGGCTAGCCGGAGCCTACCATTATGTGCAGTGCCAACCATTTTCTCAAA